TAAGAGAATTGAGAAGCATCATATTTATACAGTCATTTTACCACTCAGTAAATCGTAAATTTCAAACACTAACAATAATATAATACTTACACATACATGACTTTATGTATGATAAAGATAAAACACTGCCACTTTAATATATAATCGGTCCTCCCTAGAACTTGTAATTAATTGATAGGCACTTATATTTTTCGCAGCGCATTGTATTTTGTTTATAAACACCCATAATTATACCCAGACAGTTCGTCAAAATCGGCTATCGATTAAATGTCGAGAAGGTCAAGGCACTATTTTTTTTCAATCTTTTAGGTACCTAGATTATCAGTAATTGATTGGGTTCATTTTTATACAAGGTGATATATGGGTTGTCAATTTTACAAGTAGAAATATTATTTTTTTGTTTCGTTCTCTAGGTATTGTATTATTTTAATACACTAAATTTAATTTAATTTTTAAGCCACCCCCACGTATGGCATGTTGTTTTAAATAAATAAATAAATACAAGTTGAACGTTTTGAAATTTGATTTTACATATTTTAATTAATATATATTATATACCACATATACCACTGCTCCTCCTACACTTAAGCTGCACGGCATATAATATGCAAATACAAAATTCATGGGCGTAGGTAAGGGGGGGGAGGTTGGGTGTTCAAACACCCCCCGAAATTAAATAAAACAATCTTGAGCTTTTTGTGAATTTGTTCGAGAATATTATTAACTCTCACATTATTTAGGATTTAGACAAAAACCCCCTCCGAAAATATCTCCTACCTAAGCCCATGATACAAATGCTCCAAAAGTGTCATCAAGTTCTTCTATTAGCCCTATGTATATTCAGTAGAGTCCCTCCCTCTCAACCGGTGTTCGGTAGTCCGGACATCCAGTTATTGATTCGGACAATCGATGATCATGTAGACTGAAAATGTAATTTTTATTACAACACAAATCATTTAAAATACCTAACCCACTTAAATCTCGATAAGTCTCCTCTTTTCCGGGTTTTCGACAATCCGAAGAGAGTCCGGTCCCATCAAGTCCTGATCAGCCAGACTCTGCTGTATATATATAAATTATATTTAAAACTTAAAAATAAACTAAGTACTGCAGTAGTTGGTACTATAGAAAGGCCACTACATTGAATATTGGAATATTTCACACGTTCCTACAGAAACATAATAATATTATATGTGAAAGGGAAAACGCAAGGATAATCATTAATAATAAACTACTCGAACAAAACGATTCCTTGTTGTAGTTTCCTACTGTGAGGGACCGACGTGGGTTGTATAAAGATGGTTGGTCCAGTGAATTGACAAAACAAGTCTAGACGTGAGTTTACGTACTTCCACACATATAATATGTATAAAATAGGTTAGGTATTCGCCGGATATAATGCGTGTAATATGATGTATTAATAATTCTGCGGTGTACAGGCGTAAAATTCGAGTACCCGTGTGTATATATATATATATGTGTATATCGCCCAAATTCGACATCAGAAGGGACTCTTCGACACAATAATTGATGAATGGCCGCAATACCGTCTTAGGTGGCTTCAAGTTTGTGACAATCCGTAAGACCCATTTGTAAAAACTGCGTCAAAAAAAAAGAATAATAAAAAAGGGGCAATCGCGTCGATCTCGTGCGACACACCATAATATACCCGGAAATCTGATTTTGACCTGTACCAGCAGCAGCAGCAACAGCAGCATAATATCATCGGTCAACCCAGATTCCATGCACTGCATATTCCCACGGATGTCGACTGCAAATAATACAAATGTAATAATACTATAAATAACTTTTTTTGTTGTTCTTTTTCGCTACTTGTCACTATATTATTGACTGCTGTAGTGCTGCGTTGTTCCGTTTTCATACAATACATTATGCATCATAATACAATAGGTACTAATGGATCAAAAATCTTTTGTGCCTCGAACGGATATACCGACACCACTAAATTTAAGCTATTATATCGTCAATAATATTATACTATGTTAATATATTAGATCATTTATGTATTGCCAAGCATTTAGTTTAGTAAGCGGTAAATAACTACCAATACATAGATAATATAGATAATAGATACATTATTTTGAGATGCAAGATATGAGTTATAACTGATTATGTTTGTGTCTTAACCCGCCCCCCCCCCCCCCATCAGGGGGATATCATGTCTTGCCGCCAAGTTCACAACATCGATAATGCCATCACCAGGAAACGAAAAAAAAATAAAAGTCGAGGGGTGAGTGTCGCTTTTATATTGACATATGCTTGTATTAAGTCTATGTATGACCATTGTGACCTATGTCGGTTACCCGGTTATCAAAATAGAAAGAAAAATGTTCGATTCGTCGAAACGACAATAATTAATATTATGGGGCGAGGAAAATTATTGAATACTTAAATTATAGGAAGTTGTTATAGTGAATTCGATTAATGAAGAAAACAAATGTACAATATTACAATTACAAATAATGTTAATGTGCAATTGATTATCGGATAAAAATGAAGACGACCAAGGCGTTGCTGTTGCTTGCTTTGGGCTTTTAACATAATATGTATTGAATAGTTTTATTTTTCTCGTCCAACATAATTCTTTATTTTGAGGAACGTGAACGAGAAACACAGTTCATTGAAATTTTAAATTTTAATACGTGTGTTTTAATGATAAATTAAATAATATTTAATACAACACATATTAAAACACACGTATTAAAATTTAAAATGTGTTTTTAAATTTCAAGGAACTGTAATTTTCGTTCACGTTCCTCAAAATAAAGAATTCGTTAATTTTTTCTTTTTCCTTTATTTTTAAAGGAAACAGTTCCAAGCTTCGTTCCTACAAAAATAACTCGTTCCAGGAATCCGTTCCTTTTGGAACGAGTTCCTTCTCAACACTGCATATATATATATATATAAAACTAAATACCTATAAATATTGTGTGCGTTGTCCTTGTCACTCGTCAACCATCGTCGTTTTCCGCTATCAGCCTGATGTTCTTCCAACAATTCGACTAATAACGACCCATAGACGAGATAAAAATAGATCTTATGGAAAAATTGATAGTACTTAAAAAGTAAGAAATGTTGGCACTTGAGTACTTGATAGGTTCCCTTTTTCTAAACCTACCATCCTATTTTAACATCCTTATTACTCAATCTAATATTAGTATACCAAAAACTACACTTTCAACTTCAACTTCAACTTCAACTTAAAAAAATAATGTATTGTGAATAATGAAGTTTTGCGTTTTAAGACAATTTTAGTGTTTGCTAGAGGTGGGACCCGGGGCCCCCTAAATATATGGGGAAAAGTAAGTTCTTACACGAGAGTAGCAGGTAAACAATTATACATACGTTAGTTCCTACACGGTAAAAAACATGTACTTATGTAAGTTCCTACACGGTAAAAACCAGGTACGTATGTTAGTTCCTACACTGCGGAAAGGGTTAAACATGTATATTATACACAGACGTATCGTTTTAATAATATAATATGTCCAGACGTAGCTTACTATAATATACAATAAATTAATAAACTTAATTTAAGGCGGCTCTTAGTGACCATTGTTTAAGGGGAACAATTTAGGCAATTCCTACTCTTTACGTCGCCGCCCGTAGTATTTGTGTTAGTCGTAAATGATTATTAGTGTGAGTGCAGTTTAAAATGTTCATAAATGTTTATAAATATTTATTTTACATTTTTACCTTCCTACTAACGGGGATAATAGTAAGTTCCTACACGAGAGTAGCAGGTAAACAATTACATACGTTACTTTCTACACGGACATATGTAAGTTCCTACACGGTAAAAAACAGGTACGCATGTTAGTTCCTACACTGCGGAAAGGGTTAAATATGTATATTATACACAGACGTATCGTTTTAATAATATAATATGTCCAGCCGTAGCTTACTAATATACATTAAATTAATATACTTCATTTAAAGCAAAACGTATACAAAATTACTGGTAAAAATGTTTTTTATTATATTTTTTAATCACCATATTATACAATATTTATTTGTGAAAATGCACTATGACGATTTTTATTATATTTTTTAATCATCATAATACATATTTTGTTTTTTTAAATTCGTATATACATATTTAACCCTTTCCGCTGTAACTAACATACGTACCTGGTTTTTACCGTGTAGGAACTTACATATGTACCTTTTTTCGTCGTGTAGGAACTAACGTATGTATTTTGTGTACCTGCTACTCTCGCGTAGGAACTTATATTCGCCCAAATATACGTAAGCATTGAGGCCGGCCGCACACTCAGCACACCCGGTTTTTGCGGCACAGGTCCGAGTGTTATGAAAAAAAACTGATATTTAGTTTTTATTAAATCGTTTTATTATTATTGCCATTTATTTCGTACAGATCAGTTAGAACTCGAAATATTTCAATAATATTGTATTTTATTAGTTATTACCGAAGAATATTTTCGTGATACGGAAAGAAAAAATCAAAATATTTTGATCTCATCTGACGTCGAACGTATTCGAATAAAATACTAAATTATTCGGAAGATATTTGACCGCGACAATAAGTACATTGCAGAATGTAGGTTATTACTTATTACATAATATTTATGTTTTCGGCTTATCCAATTTCGTCAAGTAGTCTGACCCAACCATGAAAAATCATTTGTTTGTTCAAAAATATGCTTTTAAAGACAAAAAGTGTATTGTTAACTTTCGATAAACTAATGCTTGTATTCATATTAGCTTTATTAAAAATTAATTCAAGATATTTTTAACTCAAAGGGGCAGCCAAGAACTATTCCGATAAGTTCCAGTGGCTCGTTGCTTATGTTGTACTACTCATTCAGTGTTAAAAAATTCAACATTTTGTTAGTTGCAAATATAAATAGTAAATACAGGAAAACTACTTAACAAGTATTAAATGGGTAGGGTATGCATGGAGAAAACAGAAATCGACAGTAATAAGTACCGTAGTTGAAAACAATCGAACAAAAATGTAACTTCTGGGAAGACATTGCTCAAGATATTTATTCAGAAAAAAAAATACATGTATGAATCAAAATGTATTTCATTAAACAACAACTTATTATATACAGTAAAATAGTACAATAATGTAAATGGGAAAATAAGGCATTGTTATTTCTAAATTTTGTTAAGACTTATGAGTTTTATTTTCTTCCTGTAATACAGATTTCAGATACACAATTATACTTTAAAGAGGGTAGAGAATGCCTTTAGCAACTTTAACTTTTTCTTCATTACCAAGCAATACTTCTACTAGACTTAATCCAAATTCAACAGCTGTAGCAGGTCCACGACTGGTCACCAGATTTCCTACAATACAAGAAAACAAAATAACATGTTGAAAAAGCACCAACTTTGTAAACAAAATGAAGAAAAGTTACATAATGGCATTTTTAAAAAATACAAAACATAAAATCAAATATCAAACATATTTAAAAATTATAAAATAATAATATAAAAGGCACTAATCAAAATTTAATATTTTAGTAAAAACATCTATTTTGTTTCAAATACACAGTAATAGTCAATACTCAATAGAGATAACAATTTAATTTTCAGTTGTATGGACTTACAACTGCATATTAAAATTTAAAATGATAATTTACATGAATATTAATGATTGGTTAAACATTGCCTACATAATAAATTATCAAAAAGTCCTGGACATGTCACTAAAAGAGGAACACTTTATTCAGGTGGTACATGAATCAGATTTTTGAATCTAGATGAAATAGCACCAAAAAAATATATTCCAAAATACTCAGTAATTTGTAATTAATTAACCATTTATGTGTTTTAAAAATAAGAGTACAATGCAATCTATATAAATTTTCCAATTTTTAAATGAAAGAAATATTATGAAATCAAATTTTTCACATTAGGCGAGTTTTTCTCATGGGAAAATTTTTTAAGAGAATCAATACTCATCGGATCAGATACTTTTAAGGAATGTTCTATTACAGATCAAAAGTAGTTTTGACTAATAATTTATCAAACATCCGATTAAATTACTAATGAATAATAGGTTGTAGAGAGCATTAATTACCTAGTTATTGATATATTTGCAGATATTATCAGTTCTTAAGTACTACAAAGTTAAAAATTATTATGACAGCACTTATCATTTCTGACCAACTAAAGGTCCAAAAAAGCAAAACAAAATATAGTTTCTTAGGTTAGGCAAGGTAGACGCACATTTAAGAAAGTTTAAAATGGTATTCCTACACCTAATTATTGATAAAAAATTAATTTTTTATTTCAAAATTTAGTTACCTAAATTTGGTTTACCTACCTATTTGGTTGTCCAAACACTATTCTTAAATGTGTTAGTTTGGTAAATAAATGATTATTAAATAAAAATAATTCATTATTTTAAACCACTTTTAGGATTTCATTTTTTTATAATAGAGTTGGCATTAAACTAAACAAAATATATTTTGATTTTACCATCAACAACTGTACTATCTTCTTTGTATTGGTAAAAACCCTCAATGTCACTCTTCACAGTTGGGTAAGATGTTAATGATTTTCCTTTAGCAATTCCATGTTTGAATAACACAAATGGGGCTGTAAATGTTATGGTTTTAAGTAATTTGTTATACATAATGATATTGTGTACAGAAATATCAAATATAATATTAAATATTTTATAGACCCTCACCAGCACAAATAGCAGCAATGACTTTACCAGATTTTTCGTGTTCAAGCAAAATTTTTCCAACTACATCAGCCTGAAAATATAAAATGTATGTCAATACAAATATTTGGAAACACTAGGTATTTTACATCACTGGCTATAGAGGTACAAATAGTCTCTTTTAAATTGTGTAACTATAGTTTTAATATTAAAAGTAATTAGAGAATATGATTAGTGCTTTTACTGTATTTTAGTATTGTAATATAACTAGGGTTATCATAGTATAGGTTATCAAGAGCCGAGACAAATAATTTTATTTTTTTATTTTTTACAATTATTTGCAAAACATATAATATTTTAAACTTTAAAATGTAAAGGATTTACATTAATGTAAATTAATTAATTAATAAAATACAAAATTATTAATCTGTGTTTGGTGTGTTCTACCATTCTCCACCGGCAGATTAGTCTGAGTTAGCTGTTTGGTACTTAGATGAACTTTTTTAAACAAAAGCATTTAATAAAAGACAAAAATTTAAGTAACATTAAATATTTCTAAGAGTACAATTTTTTACACCACTTAAACTCCTAATTTTTGGTATTAAGTGTTTCATCCGTTATTTGTTCAATAAAAATTAATATTTTGGAATTACAAGAAAAGTATAAACAAAAACTTACTGAAGCTAAAACCTTGTGCGATGGACCACCGGGTATAACAACAGCATCAAATTTGTTATTTTTTACATCTCCCAACTTAGCATCAGTTTTAATCAGTAGATTTGATTTAGTCTTCACATATTCAGAATCAGCTAAATCAGCAATTGTAACAGTCACCTTTATAACAAGAAAAATATATCAAACATAAGGCAACTAAACAGTTTATTAAAAAATATTAGAATCACAGCATTAAATTTATGTAATACTAGCTGAATAACTGGGCTTTGCCCACTTGCAGTTATTTTTTTTGCGGAAAATCCTATACAGGTATATCTCAGTTTTAGTGTATGTCAGGTCACAGACACATCAGCATCAGTATAACTAGCTTTGTGACCTAGTTGGGCAACTACAATTTGTGGATTGGATTTAGCACTTGATACATTTTTTAACATAGATTAAACTAATTACTGACTAAACTCTTCTGATATATCTAAAAACAATCTCTAAGATTTTCATCAAAATCAATCGAGATATTTATGATTATATAAACTAGTAAGCTACAAACATACATTTGGTTTTAAGATATAGTTTCTTGAATTGAGGCCATGTAACACAACAGTTTATGTACAAAAAGGTTTCGATGTGAATTTCATAATCCTTGTTTGAAGACCTCTATAAAATGCAAATTTTGGAAAATTTTTTCTTAATGGGTCTTTCCATAATAAAATAAAACTACTGACATTTGATACTCGTAGCTTTGGTAGTCCTAGCTAGGCAAAACCGAATAAATCAGTCAGTCAAGACAAGTTCTTTTATATTCAATTATATTATAGATGTTTTAAAGAACCTACCTCTATAAATCTAAAAGCGAAAGTATGAACATTTTTAAAATAGCTAGGTATTGCTAATAAGTTTTAAATTGTTCATTTACAAATGAAATACAAAACCAATTATTTATAACTAGCAAACATTTTTAATTATTTGAGGAATATTACATTAGCACGGCGAAGAATGTCAACAGGCGCCACCAATTCAAGCTCTTCGCTGCCTTCTGCCACAATGAATAAAGCAGTTTTTGTGGCCATTTCTATGCAAGTTGTTGATGAGTATTTTGAATTGATAGAGTTGTTTCGTTGGACGTCGAGCGCAAATGAAGGTTTCTGAACTTTGATCAAACTGTAACCAGAACAATAATACGGTTTAGCAAATATGAGCAGTTTATGAAACATCTGAAAACTTTATAATCAATGAGACAAACTGATAAAGCTGAAAATGTCTGTGAAGATAGCTCCGTCTAGTGATGGGCACAACCGACTAGTTTTAACTATCGATTGTTTATCGATAGTTTCAAAAACTACTGAGTGATTTTTCAATTGAATAGATATTATTATTCATCGATAGTTTTTCAATAGTTCGATAGTCCGATAGTTTTATAAAACAACCGAGTAATTAGATAGTTTAAACTATCGAGTACTTCGATAGTTTTCACTCGGTTGTGCCCATCACTCTAGCTCCGTCCTATTCATGAACTAAGATATACCAATATCTTAGTTCATGGTCCTATTTAGCTCCTTTACCACTGATAAGATAATGGTTTATACTAGACATATTAAGTTGCATTTACTCAATTTATCAGGGGCAATTAAAAATTAAATTTCTAATTTGTAATAACACGAAATTTCAATCAAATGAAAAAAACAATGAAGTTGGCTCATAAAAAAAGGTTTTATACAAAACTCAATTTTTTTTACCCCTATTTTAAGAGCAGAAATACTTAAATATGTTTCAGCAATTAAACATAATAATACATTTTTTGATTGTGGAATAACTAATATTGCATTAAAAAATAAATTCATTATACCTCTATAAAAAAACTGGTGATACAAAATATTTTAGAAATTACAGACCTATTTCTTTATCACTAATACTATAAAGTCTTTAAAACATTTTTGAAAATCAGAATTCTAAATTGTTTAATTATAAACATATTATTCTCAAGTTTTCAATTTCGATTACTAGCAGGAAAATCAACTATGGATCCTCTGCTGATACTTTATATATTTTTTAACGAGGACCTAGATTATATTAATAAAGTGATGAGCATCTTTTTTGTATTTAAAAAATCTTTTGATTCGGTTAATAATGATATTTTAATTTAAAAAAACTCGATTATGCTGGTATTAGGGGTCTACAATTAAACTTTTCAAATCTTACTTAAGTAGTAGAACGCAGGTTGTAAGATTAAGTGGTGTTCTTAGTGATTCTGTGAATATCACACATGGACATGTTGTTTCAAAAGGAACTGTTTTAGAGCCTATCTTATTTTTTATTTATATAAATAGTCTACCTACTTAATTTAAATGATGACTCAAACATTTCCTGTTATGCTGATGATACCACCATATTACTATTACTATTACTAGTGATAATTATAATGATTTGAATAAGAAACCAAATTCTCTATTATATTGTATTAAAGTATGGTTAGATATTAGTATGTTGATGCTCACTATAAGCTCAAATTACATCTCTTTGATTGTAACTTTAGCTCTTGAGGCAGCATCAATTGTAAATCTGATGTCTTGGAAAAAGTAGTAGTATAAAAATATCTGGATATTACATTAGATTACAAATTAAAATGGGCATGTCATATTAATAATTTAATCTCCAATGTACTTATTTTTTTCTTTTTTTTAAGATGTTAAACGGTACTTTTAATATAAATATGAAGTGAATAATTTACATTTCTTTGGTACAATCAATTTTTAATTATGGAATAATGTTCTGGGGTTGTGCTTATAAATCACATCTTGAAAAACTAAAAGTTATAATAAATAGCATTATAAGATTTTTATTGAGCAAACCTAAATCCTTTAATACTAATCTTATTTTTAATGAACTTGATGTACAATACTTTGATAAATATTTTTTACTAACTAATGTATTATTGCTTTTATATAAACATAAACATCTTTTGACCAATGTGAATCATTCTTATATTACCAGATATATGTAAATACAATATAAATATTGTTTTTAGTGGTACCTAATACAATTTTTGGTTCAGAAGGTAAATTAATCGTAGGAGCATATTAATTTAAGAAATTGAACATTAATTTATTTAATTTCAAAACAGTTAAGGAGTTAAAATTTTTTTTTGAATAATCTAGACATTGACAATATTTGAACTAATATTTATATTTGCTTAAATTATTTTTATTTAATGTTTATTAATTCTTTTACTAGTATTAGTAGTATTATATTCTTTCTGTCATGCTTATTTTGACATAATAAAACATATATATAACTTATAAACTAAACTCTACTCTCCCAATACAAGCTACGTCTACAAGGAGTGTTGTATACTGCTTATTTTTTTTATCTTATTATGTTTATTGTATATCTATTTTGAAAAATAAAAATTATTTTTATAATTATTATTTATTAAGTTTTATTGATGTATTATATTTATTGTAAAAATTACATATCTACCTGACCAAAATAATTTTAAAATCATCTTAATATCACTTATGAAACTTGCAAATACATTTATGTTAAAAATATGAAAGTAAATAAAATAGTATGTACAAATATTTACATTCATTTGCGTCGTATCAAAGTGTATCGAGCATCTGGTTTTTGATTAAAGTTTTTACTCGTACTGTAAACTTCAACAACTGCTTCTTCACCAGTAGGCAAAATGTGTAGTTTGAACTTCTTACAGTCATCATGTTTACAATACATCTTCAGCTTCATTGATTTTTCAGTCTTAATGTATTCTAGCTTTTTAATATACAATATACAAGTGTTATTCACTTCTTGAAGATGTTTCCTGATAACACCAGGATACCTGAAATATAACAATAAAACATTAGTATAGTTTCTGAGTAAAGGCTAATAATTGTACATTACATTACACTAAAATAAAAATCAATTATTTTTTAGTCTACTTGATGAATTATATTTACATATCTATTTAAATTATGTACAACTTTCCAAAGGTGGGCATTAACTATGTAAAAAGTTAAAGTTAAGTTAAAACGTCAACTTGGGACACGTGTTTAACTTGGGGCAAAAATATTATCTTTTAGTTTTACTTTCATAACTTAATTAATTAATGTGATGTAGATATTCTGTTGTTATCATAACAATATTTAAAATCACTTTGGTAGTGATGCAGTATCAAATATGATACGTAAGTATTAATTTTTATTAATTCATCTTATGTCGAGTATCTATCGTTTTTAAAAAGTCCGAAAACGTACACTAATACTCATTGAATGAGACGTTTTATATAAAAATTGATAATAAAAAATATGTTCAGACATGTGTTAAATTTATACTACTCCATATTATAAATTATTATAATCGTGCACACATTTCTGTATATTGTGATTTACTTATTTAGTCCAACTTGGGTCACTATTATTCATCCATGGTCAAAGTTATAATTAGGATAAATTTAAACAAGTCAATTCTATCAAAACAAGACTAAACTTTATACGATTTAGTCTAAATAGTACCTACAGTTATATTTTTAATTTTGTACAGATGGGTGAATGTCTGAGAAAAATTAGTGAAAATTTTAAGAACAAGAATGTAATTATTATGTTTATATGTTAATATGTATTAGGTACAAAGTATATTTGTTAAATTCAGAACATTGTCTAGAATTTTTTAAAATTTAGAATAGTGCCCCAAGTTAGTTTAAGTAAATTATAAAATAGGAAAAACATAAATGCCCCATGTTGTCAATACTCGGTACAACATGGGACAAGCAGAAAATTTTTTTTAAAAAAAATAGAAAGAATAATTGTTATGCTTCAAATACAACAAAAATGAATAAATCAAACCTTAACTAAAAAAATGATGTATTGAAAATCAGGGGCGTAGCCAGTAGGTAGGCCTGGTAGGCCCGGGCCTACCCAGATTTTCTCTAGAAAAATACCAATAATATTAAAAATGATATATTCAGACACTTATACTGCACGTTTTTACAATAGTATAATATTATTATAACTCTATAATAATTTGTCTGTATCAAGACGGCGATATCATTAGATATCATATATATTATACATTGTAGTTATTACATTAAATTATTACAAATTGTATTTTATTTTTAAATGAAATGTATACATTTTAAGTTGAATTTTTAAAAGTTTGTTTGGTTGTAATTTTCTTGCAAATTGAAATTGCCGTTTGAAATTTCATCACGAGAAAATTCTGAGTATTATGACGCAGCTGATGATGTTGCAGACGGTGGCCGAACAAAGTCATAATCAGGAGTATGAGACAGTGGTCGAAATGAGGTGGCAGGTCTAGTGTTCAATAGTGATTGAATAATTGAAATGTTTAAATGACTGTTGAATGATCGATTAATATGAGTTTTATTTTTAATGTTATTAATTAGTTGCATTGTTTGCATTATAAAACTAAATTTCTGGTCTGCAGTTAACGATTTAACTGTTGGAAGTAGTGAATAAAAGAATGCCATGTCTTCACCTTGTTCCATCATGGGGTTTTTTGTCACCTCATTATTAAGTGACTCCATAAAGTCAACTAGAGCTTGCTCCACCACACTAGGCTTCATTCGCTTGTTTGTTGATTTTTCATTCAGAGAAGAGGAAGAACTCCCAGCCATTTCATGATAACTTCCATCCTCAATATCAACAGATGAATTAAGCTCTCTTTCATTTATATTAGGTGATGTTGGTTCAGATAGAGGCAGTGGCGTAGCCAGGGGGGGTGTTATAACCCTCACCCTCAGCCGTATTTATATCAAAAATATAATGTTTTTAATATAGGAATAGGTACAATCATTTGGTCGTGGTAAAATGTATTCTGTTATGCCGTATTCACACACAACCACGGTTTAAGATATTCCTAAGGTTGAAGATACCCCTAAAGCTGCGGAACCATTAACTCCTGTAGCTGCAGCGGGAGATGCTCCTGTTCCTGCAACCCCTCCCCCACAAATATCACAGCCCCCACCACCAAGAGTAGCTACTCCACCAGCAGCTGCCCATCGAATACCAAATCAACAAACTGCCACTGTTAAGGTACCACCAACTGATCCCACCAAAGAGATAGCTGGAACCAGATCAGAATATCGTGTTAAAATGAACCGTATGCGATTACGTATTGCCCAACGTTTGAAGGATGCTCAAAACACAAATGCCATGTTGACCACTTTTAATGAGATAGACATGAGGTGATCATTAATTTTTAAAGTAAAGTTACTTAAAGATTGCCCTATTATTTATAATTCAATTTTTAGCTCGATCATGGATTTCCGCAAAACTAACCTTGATGCTTTTCAAAAGAAATACGGATTGAAATTAGGATTTATGTCTGCATTCTTAAAAGCGTCTGCTTACGCCCTACAAGATCAACCCATTGTCAATGCTGTAATAGAAGGCAATGAAATTATCTACAGAGATTATATAGATATATCTGTAGCTGTAGCAACTCCTAAAGTAATCATTTAAATATTAATAGCACTATTTGACAATGGTTTTCTAAAACATTTTATAAATAGGGTCTATTAGTGCCTGTCGTTCGCAATGTTCAAGACATGAATTATGCAGATATTGAAAAAGCAATTGTGGCTCTCGGTGAAAAAGCGAAAAGAGGTGCTATTAATGTTGAAGATATGGATGGTGGTACTTTTACTGTCAGTAATGGTGGAGTTTTCGGATCTCTAATGGGAACACCAATCATCAACCCACCACAATCCGCTATTTTGGGAATGCATAGCATTTTTGAAAGGCCTATTACTGTTAAAGGACAGGTTATTATCTATTACTGTAGTTTTTTGCTTTTGATAATAATTATTAACATATTGTAAATATGTTTTTTATTATTAATAATTAGGTAGTCTCAAGGCCCATGATGTACATAGCTTTAACATATGATCATAGGCTTGTAGATGGACGTGAAGCTGTACTGTTTTTACGCAAAATTAAAGCTGCCATCGAGGATCCTAGAATAATTGTTGCAGGATTATAGATAAATATAAACCCTAAGATTTTTGATATACCTTTGTATTTGTGTAAACGATTATATTAGAATAAAAATTGAATTATATTAAAAATATAGACCAAGATGATGGACAATAACCTTAACTACAAGAAGCATTGGATACGTTACTCGTGCTAGAAAAACAAACTAGAACTGTGAGTTATTATTATTGTCAATATACATTTTCGGTTTTTTCGTTTTTTTTTGCTAACGTCGATAAAAATTTTTTCCTTCCGTCAAAAAACTTACAAATTTAATTCTAGATTCTTCATAATTTGTTTAAAGTGAAAATCAAAAAAAAAATTGAGCGTAAATGTTGGATTGTTTTTTATTAGTGTCTAAAGTTAGAAATTAGAAAAAATACGTAGAAATCACGAAATTTCGCAGTTTCTTTTTATTGAAAAATTCATAAAATTTTTTGGGTTTGAGTAAGATTTGAAAATTAAAAATGAGATTCTGCATAAGCGTTTATACCATTCTAACAAAAAACATTTTTACCGGAAAGTCAAACTAAATTTTTATGAGCGTTTGAAGTAAGACATTGGGTGTTCCCCCGTTTTTTCCGTGCACGAATTTCTTATTTTGATGTAATTCAAAAATAAATTATCGCAGACATTTGAAAATGTCACCAATTGTTAAGATAACCATTTTATATACACTAAAAAAATAAAAAAATAATTTGACAAGTTTTGTAGGCCTAAGAAATTTCAATTTTTCCAATTTTTTTTTTAAATATCGATAAAAATAATTTCGTTGGGTCAAATTTTTTGAAAATTTAATACTAGATTCCTCACAAGTGGATTAACTAGCAACTCAAAAATAATAAAAATACATAAGTACAATTTTTTTTTGATAAGCATTTAAATATCAAATTTTGACAGAAATTCATCATTGCAAATTTGCAAATGGTCTTGTTGTTAAAAATTCATAAAGTGTTCAGATTTTATATTTAAGGATTGAAGATTTAATGCAATGTTTTATGTAAACAGCTTATAATGTTACCAAAAAATCAGAAAAAAGTATTCAAATTATAATTTTGTATAGACATTTTAAGTAAAAATTTGGACGTCAAAATATTGGAAATGTGCAAATTGTTTTGTAGTTAAACATTTATAAAATGTTCAGTTTTTATAACTAAGGATTGAAAATCGAAAACAAGTTTGTTCTAAATGCTGTTAAAAAAATATTTAAGATTAGTATGCACACTTTTTTTATAAGCATTTAAAATTAAAATGTTGACTAAATTCATCGAAATCTCGAATGTTTGCAAATTGATTTGTACATAGTTAAAAATTTATAAAATATTCTAGAACGACAAACCGTCTGCGCTCAGAATCGTTTTTCGTATGCAATGATGTATCGTTGGATTCCAATTTAACATCATCCATTACAGTGACCCTCTATATAGTAACCTACTGTACAGCAGAGCGACATCCACTTAACCGCTTTTTTTATATTAAAGTATTGCACATCTGATCATGTGTATGTTATTTGTATATAATATGCATACCGATTTAATGTTAAATTATTTAGTACCTAACTGTGTACTTCACTCATGCCTAAAAGAAACCTATTTTTAAAGATTATTATTCGTTTCAATTGAATGAGTTCACATTTTTATTACTACTTATTTAAATTATTGTCAATGCGTAAGAGTGAATAATAAAATATTGTGTTTTGATCTATGTTCGAGAGCTTATATGAAAATACTGTTGATTTTGTAATCAAGATTAATAAACTGTTTGCATAATAATTTGTACAAATATACAATAACCTATTTTTGAATAAATAATCAACCCTTAAACATAAATAATAGATTAGACAGTTGATTATTTATTCAAAAATAGGTTATTGTATATTTGTACAAATTATTATGCAAACAGTTTATTAATCTTGATTTCAAAATCAACAGTATTTTCATATAATCTCTCGAACATAGATCAAAACACAATATTTTATTATTCACTCTTACGCATTGACAATAATTTAAATAAGTAGTAATAAAAATGTGAACTCATTCAATTGAAACGAATAATAATCTTTAAAAATAGGTTTTTTTTAGTCATGAGTGAAGTACACAGTTAGGTACTAAATAATTTAACATTAAATCGGTATGCATATTATATACAAATAATATACACATGATCAGATGTGCAATACTTTAATATAAAAAAAGCGGTTAAGTGGATGTCGCTCTGCTGTACAGTAGGTTACTATATAGAGGGTCACTGTAATGGATGATGTTAAATTGGAATCCAACGATACATCATTGCATACGAAAAACGATTCTGAGCGCAGACGGTTTGTCGTTCTAGAATATTTTATAAATTTTTAACTATGTACAAATCAATTTGCAAACATTCGAGATTTCGATGAATTTAGTCAACATTTTAATTTTAAATGCTTATAAAAAAAGTGTGCATACTAATCTTAAATATTTTTTTAACAGCATTTAGAACAATCTTGTTTTCGATTTTCAATCCTTAGTTATAAAAACTGAACATTTTATAAATGTTTAACTACAAAACAATTTGCACATTTCCAATATTTTGACGTCCAAATTTTTACTTAAAATGTCTATACAAAATTATAATTTGAATACTTTTTTCTGATTTTTTGGTAACATAATAAGCTGTTTACATAAAACATTGCATTAAATTTTCAATTCTTAAATATAAAAACTGAACACTTTTTAAATTTTTAACAACAAAACCATTTGCAAATTCGCAATGATGAATTTCGGTCAAAATTTGATATTTAAATGCTTATAAAAAAAATTGTGCCTATGTATTTTTATTATTTTTGATCTGCTAGTTAATCCACTTGTGAGGAATCTAGTATTAAATTTTCAAAAAATTTGACCCAACGAAATTATTTTTATCGATATTTAAAAAAAAATTGGAAAAATTGAAATTTCTTAGGCCTACAAAACTTGTCAAATTATTTTTTTATTTTTTTTAGTGTATATAAAATGGTTATCTTAACAATTGGTGAAATTTTCAAATGTCTGCGATAATTTATTTTTGAATTACATCAAAATAAGAAATTCGTGCACGGAAAAAACGGGGGAACACCCAATGTCTTACTTCAAACGCTCATAAAAATTTAGTTTGACTTTCCGGTAAAAATGTTTTTTGTTAGAATGGTATAAACACTTATGGAGAATCTCATTTTTAATTTTCAAATCTTACTCAAACCCAAAAAATTTTATGAATTTTTCAATAAAAAAAAACTGCGAAATTTCGTGATTTCTACGTATTTTGTCTAATTTCTAACTTTAGACGCTAATAAAAAACAATCCAACATTTACGCTCAATTTTTTTTTTTGATTTTCACTTTAAACAAATTATGAAGAATGAAGAATTAAATTTGTAAGTTTTTTGACGGAAGGAAAAAATTTTTATCGACGTTAGCAAAAAAAAAAACGAAAAAACCGAAAATGTATAATGACAATAATAATAACTCACAGTTCTAGTTTGTTTTTTTAGCACGAGTAACGTATACAATGCTTCTTGTAGTTTAGGTTATTGTCCATCATCTTGGTCTATATTTTTAATATAATTCAATTTTTATTCTAATATAATCGTTTACACAAATACATAGGTATATCAAAAATCTTAGGGTTTATATTTATCTATAATCCTGCAATAATTATTCTAGGATCCTCGATGGCAGCTTTAATTTTGCGTAAAAACAGTACAGCTTCACGTCCATCTACAAGCCTATGATCATATGTTAAAGCTATGTACATCATGGGCCTTGAGACTACCTAATTATTAATAATAAAAAACATATTTACAATATGTTAATAATTATTATCAAAAGCAAAAAACTACAGTAATAGATAATAACCTGTCCTTTAACAGTAATAGGCCTTTCAAAAATGCTATGCATTCCCAAAATAGCGGATTGTGGTGGGTTGATGATTGGTGTTCCCATTAGAGATCCGAAAACTCCACCATTACTGACAGTAAAAGTACCACCATCCATATCTTCAACATTAATAGCACCTCTTTTCGCTTTTTCACCGAGAGCCACAATTGCTTTTTCAATATCTGCATAATTCATGTCTTGAACATTGCGAACGACAGGCACTAATAGACCCTATTTATAAAATGTTTTAGAAAACCATTGTCAAATAGTGCTATTAATATTTAAATGATTACTTTAGGAGTTGCTACAGCTACAGATATATCTATATAATCTCTGTAGATAATTTCATTGCCTTCTATTACAGCATTGACAATGGGTTGATCTTGTAGGGCGTAAGCAGACGCTTTTAAGAATGCAGACATAAATCCTAATTTCAATCCGTTTTTCTTTTGAAAAGCATCAAGGTTAGTTTTGCGGAAATCCATGATCGAGCTAAAAATTGAATTATAAATAATAGGGCAATCTTTAAGTAACTTTACTTTAAAAATTAATGATCACCTCATGTCTATCTCATTAAAAGTGGTCAACATGGCATTTGTGTTTTGAGCATCCTTCAAACGTTGGGCAATACGTAATCGCATACGGTTCATTTTAACACGATATTCTGATCTGGTTCCAGCTATCTCTTTGGTGGGATCAGTTGGTGGTACCTTAACAGTGGCAGTTTGTTGATTTGGTATTCGATGGGCAGCTGCTGGTGGAGTAGCTACTCTTGGTGGTGGGGGCTGTGATATTTGTGGGGGAGGGGTTGCAGGAACAGGAGCAGCTGCTGGTGAAGTAGCTACTCTTGGTGGTGGGGGCTGTGATATTTGTGGGGGAAGGGTTGCAAGAACAGGAGCAGCTGCCACTACAGCCACAGGAGTTATTGGTTCCACAGCTTTGGGGGTATCTACAACCTTAGAAGTATCTTGAACTTTAGGAACTGCTTTGGCTGGCGCAGGTCCTCCTTCTAATAATTTGTTTAAACATCATACACGTAAAATAAACTAAAAAAATAATTTCTACCCGTGATTGTAATTGTACACAAATCTTGTCCAGCTTTGACAGTCGCCCCA